AAATCACTTTCCGCTTTCACTGAAGTTTCAGATTGAGTTCATTCAAATGATAGATGATATCAGTCAGGAACTGCAAATCAAATTGCCACTGCTTATCTTCAATAGCAGAAAAAAGTCCAGCTTTCCTTTCTCGTCAAGAAAGTCTCTAATTGGAGTAAGCAGTGCAATGAACCACTCAAGCATCTTTCCACAACTCAGCCATCGCACATTGGCAAAATAGATTATTTCAGGATGCTCAGATGCATTTTCTTTCAAAAATTCCACAAGTTGTCAAGGTTCAGAGCACTGCTGCGAATAAAATTCACAATTTTGATCAGAGTATCCATCAAGTCTTTCAGAGTATCTGTTGTGGACATCTGAGCGCACAGATTTTCTTGATGCAAAATACAGTGGCAAGAAGGCAATTTGCTGTTCATTTTTTGTTAGATTGAAGGTGCTCTTTCAGAAGAGAGACAAATCCAGAATTTTTTCCCATCATAGCTGTCACATCATCAGTTGTAACAGAAGCCAATATTGTTAAATCCAAGTCAGAATCATTTGAGACACTTTTGAAAGCATCAAATATGTCAGATCCACTGATGCAGTCTCTCAACCCTCACATTGATAGCAGTTCTTCATGAATCTGGAAATCTTCTGTTACAGAATGAATCCAGAAGATGAGCTCAGCAGTATCACTGATGTCATATGACTCATCCTGTGCCAATGAGTAGGCCATACACTATCAAGTTCAGCACACAACTGGTTTTGAGATCAATAGACAAATCTTTCAACCAACATGCAACTATTAGTGACTTAGCTGCAAATTTTAAATGCTCTGAAAGATGTTATTCTGTGTCTGTTCATTATGATTTTCAAGCAAGGTTTCCCTGCGAGAATAATTTCCTTCACCATTTCCCCATCTGTCCACATCTACACTACGAGCTTTTTCGGCAGAAAATATGCTAATGAGGGACTCATTAGCATAAGTCGCAATCTCTTTAGCTTATTTTCTGCCATTTCTTTTTGCACAAGGTGTTTTTGTGCAAGAAGAAACAGCATTGACAGGTTTTTGTGCAAAAACCCCATTTTGCGCAAGATCCTTATACCTCTCCAGGACAGGCATAAGGATCTTGTGCAAAATGGGATTTTTGCGCAAAAAAAGTCCATTCTGCTTCTTTTTGTGCAAAAAACCCTTGCACAAAAAGAAATGGCAGAAAATATGCTAATGAGATCACAACTCATGCTAATGAGTTCCTCATTAGCATATTTTCTGCTAAAAAAAACTCATAGTGTAGACGAAGCTTCTGAGAGTGACTTCTTGCTGCGAGCAAGTATCCATACAGCTTTATAGCTGGCCAAAGTTACCAGTTCAGATGCAGATAGAAACTGCTTCAAAACCTTTGCTGCTTTCAGAATCCAATTTCAGCTGACCAATTTTATCAGCTTGCTTTTTGCTTCCAATAGGATCAAAATCACTGTCCTGCCCTTGGACATGCCTTCTTATATTGTTGGTCTTATTTGCTAGAATTGTTGGGTGACACAGCAAACACATTAGCTTTTCATTCAGCTCAATAATGGTATATTCCAATGCCCATTTCTCTTGAAATTTACATGTGGTGTCCTTCCGGTCTCTCTCTTTCTTTGCTGCAGTTTCTACTGACAATTTGTTTTCAGCATTGTTTTATCCGCTACTGGTACTTTCTCCTGATTCAGAATTATGCTTTCTAATAACAAACCGATCCATGGATGCAATTCTAGAAAATGAATTAATATTATTCATTTTCAGCACAAAGCAGAAATAAGCAATATTGTTGGGGAGGAAAAGTACTCCAATTTTTAAAATTCAGTATCTCTGGAAGTGTTAAATTTTTTAATTTTTTTTTAATTTTCAAAAACGGGAATAAAATTCAAACTGTTTTCTTCAAATATGTGCTTGTATGCTGGATTTTGTTGTTTAGAATGGCCGTAACTTTGGAGAAAAATTTTTAATATACACTACTATATTTACTGAACAAAATTTTTGGCTGTTGAAAGGCCAATATTTGAACCCAATTATGTGCCCATGATGAACCTACATTTAAATTGAAGATTGAAATGAAAGCCAGAAGAAGACTGGCTATCTTGAAAACTGAGCTGCTTCATATAAGAATAAATAATTTCACACAGAAAACTCAGAAGTACATTCAGAAAGGATTAGATGATAAATGACAGTGGAAAACTAGTACTTAGAAATACCAGCCGCGACTTACGGTGATGGATGATTATTTCTGGGCTAAGCGGCCTATTTAAGCTATTCCTCAAACTGGCAGAAGTCTCCATCCAGCTAATGGGTCAAATAAATGGAAAGTGGCTTTAGAACTCAAAAAGATCCCTGAACTTGTTTTATTCTCTGAAAATTTTTGGTTTTGATTTAAACAAATTTTTTGAATGATTTTTTTTTTTTTTAGTTTTTATTGTTCTCGCCGGCTAGCCACCCTCAACTGGCCAAATAGCCATATGTGACATTGGCTAGCATGCTGGACACCATGGTTTATAATTAGTACCTTAAACTTCACTTTGAAATCATTTGGTAGCTAACATAGCTCATGGATCATGAATATAATAGACTCTTTTCAGGATATGGCCTATTGTGCACTAACTGCAGTTTCCTAGTGGTTTTGAGCTGTTGTCCTAAAGAGAATATTCCAGTAACATAAAGTGGAGATTACAAAGGCCTGAATAAAAGAAGCAAGGTCTGCATCTGAAAGAAAAGGTCATAATCTTTTTGCCAAATACAAGTTAGAAAAGATGCTTTTGACAACTGCTGCTGCCTGGAAAATCTGTGACATGAATAGCAAAAGAAGAGAAGCAGTGATCTTAATAAGATTCAACTTTGATTTTTAATAACAGTTGGTCTGTGGAACAGGTTGCCTAATGATGCAGTCACAACATGCTCAATAGAGAGATTATCACCTAGATTATATAAATTTATGGAAATTATAGGGTACAGTTTATCATAGTTAATTTATGGTTTGGACTAGATGATTGAAGAGGTCCCTCTCATCAGCAGTTCTGTAACTGTTAGATTCCTATCTTTGATAAACTAATGGATTCAAAAAAAGGGAAACTAAAACTTACATTTAAATTTATCTCCTACCTCATCTATTAGAGAGTACAGAAGGCAGGTTTTAAGAGTTAAATGTTTCTAACTTTTAAATTATGACCCGTATTTAAATATATTTTTTTTAGAAATGTACATGCAGTTTTCAAGTACCTGTGAAATTAACATATTTAACTTGTGTAAGTTTGCTATTTTTACCTGTTTGTAATTATCTACATTTATTCATTGAAATTGAGGATTCTTTGAATACTGAACATTTTGATCCCATTTCCTAATTACCTCCTTGACCCTCAAACAGTAATAGATTTAACTAAATACTTGGATTAAGGATGTTAAATATCAACTAATTCACTAATCGGATAGTCGATGCATTTTGCATTGACTATTCAATTAGTTGATAGGGAGATTCCGCCTTTGAAGTGAATATCAATAAAAAAGAAATGGATGTTTATTCAGTAAACGTTTCCCTCCTGACACCCTGTCTCCATGCCCACCTAGTCTCAATTTTCTCTGCCTCCCCTGGGTTTCCAGTTCCAGTCTCTGCCTAGCCAGGACTTGCTCTGTGGCTCCCCCTATCCCAAACTTCTTGTCTCTGTCGATATTGCCCAGGTATAGCTTTTGTCTCCTCTGTATGCAATTCAGGCAACTTTCTTCTCCAATCTACTTGGCATCAGCAAAGGGTGCGTTGAGATTAAATAAAAGACTTTCTCCCTGTTCACAGTTCTGGTGCGGGGTTGAGGACCCAAGCGTGGGTTCGAACAGTCCAGGCCTCCTCAGCTGCCTTTGTTGCTCAAGTACCTATCCTGGACATTAGCAGAGTGGCCACCTAGTCCTTGGTTCATACCTTTGTTAACCATTATGCTTTGGAGCACCAGGCCAGGGATGATGTGGCTCTTGATAGGGCAGTACTACATTCCATTGCAAGTTAAGGCTCCGATTCCAGAGGTTCTGCTTGGGAATCACTTACATGGAATGGACATGAGCAATCACTCAAAGAAGAAAAAGCAGTTACTTGCCTCTCATAACTGTTGTTCGAGGTATGTTGTTCATGTCCATTCCAAATCCCACTTGTCTCCCCTTCTTTGTTTTTTTCAAGAAAAATATAATTCGTCCAAATTATTGTTTCTGTTGGCTGCTATTTTTCCCTTAAAGTGTTGTATCAATAGTTTTGAAAACTTACCAGTTTAATAACATAATCTGCAGGACATCTTTGACAGTCATGGAGGGAAATTTTCTATTACTCTTTTATAAACAACAAACAAAACACCCAGATAGGCATGTAAAACTGGATGAAGCTGGTTTGATTTTAACAGTGGGGTATGGGTATGTTTAAAGTATGCTGATTTGATTTTTTTAATGGATTATATTAATATCTAAATTCTGAAAATTTATTTTAATTATAGTGTTTTACCAATAGTTCTCTCACTTGTGTGTATGTTTTAAATAGATCTTCCTTCGCTGGATGGAAATGCCAAGTTCAGGATAGTTCAATGAGCGATGTGGACTATTTCAGTTTCTTGTTTTCAACCCTTACAGGTAATCCATTTTAATATAAATTAAAATTAAGAAAATGAAATTGCTTGTGATAATCCAATTAGATCTCATAGAATAATTATTTGTAAAGTAGATTAATTATAAATATTAAATATGGGTTAAAATACTTGTATGCAATGGAAAAAAGATTAGAATTGCCAGTATCATGATATGTTTTGGTTATGGGTGAGAAATCACTTTCATTCTTATTTCCTGTTTTTAATGGCTTGCTTACTTCATCCTCAGTTACCATTTGAATTGAATATTATTCATATTTTGTTTTAGTACATGGATGTGTACTTCATCTTGACTGAGAGTTAGATTAGATAACATTTGGAGTCTCTTCTACCACTATGAATCTGTTTTCTTTTTGAAAACAAAGAAAATGTATTCAGCAATTTTTGAATTATTTGAGCAAGAAAAAAAAAACTTTAAGTTAATTGCTTACCTGCTTTCTTTTGATTGATAATAGAATTGATGAGCACCAGTCTGATTATGATGGTTCCCAAAACAATATTAAAAACATTTAATCTAATTTAATCTAAATAGAAAGTCAAACACAATAGAGCAGGCTGCCAGTGCTTTTTAAAGAGAGTTATTATCAACCACTGAACGCTAATGCAAATAAAAGTCCAGCGTCAAGGCTTTCCCAAAGAAGAAAAAAAAAGTTCTCTTCAGAATGTCTGGATGGTTAAAACTAGCAGACCAAAGTGAGGAGTGAGGGTTTTTTGTACATGCGTATCAAAGAAGCAGTTTGGATTTCAAATTTCATATTTAGCAAGTATGTGGTTTTCAATTAGAGGGAGAAATTATTAGTGTGAAATTAGTGTACTGTGCATCCTTAACCACAGTTGGTATTTTACACATGTGAAACTGGACACTACAGTTTTCCCTTTGTGAAATTGCTTATGCAGATCCCAGCTTCTTTTGTCCTCCACTTTTAGAGCTGATCATACTACATGGATCCCCAAACTCTGAAAAGCCTTTAACCTACAATGTGCTTTATGCCTTGTTGTATGCAATGAAACAACCTATAAAAATAGTCAGCGCCGCACCTCCCGCTTCAGTGCTTTTTTTTTTCTTGGTATGTTGTTCTGGATTCTCTAATCATGATTCCGGAGTTAATGATGAGCTGCATTTTACACTTAAAGCAGACTTCCAGGCTTTGCTTTACATGAAGAATACTGCGTAACTTTGATAAAATTACTGCATTTACTCTATTTAAGTTAGAGAACATGTTTCTGAAAATTCAAGTTTGTTTGGAAATGGATTCTCAATGTGCTTAGAATTTTCTTAAAGCTAAATTCTTCAAAATTTTTAAGATCTTGATTAATCGTAATGGTAAAACATGCTTCAAATTTCTTCTGCTATTCTGACATCCTTGCCCCGATCATAGTATTGCTCTTCTCTATGCCTTCCCATGGGTCCACACAGTGCTGCTTCCTGGTGTTGGGAGCCAAGGTAGAACACTATGTGTTGGGAATAAAGTGTGGTTATGGGGAAGAGCAGAGGGAAACAGAACTGTGTGGGTCTGAGAAGGATTAATAATGGTATTGAGGACAGATGAGAACTATCCGAAGAGTGGGGCCTAAAAATTGAGGAGATATGGAGGAAACCTGTTTCTGAGAGCTGATGTCTACCTCCAGCGATGTTGCCTGAGTGCGCAGTGTAGCTGAGGTAGTAATACTGTTGTTGGCAACCTTTTGAGCACTGATGCCGTGGCACAAAGGAATTGGGCTCCCCATTATAGTCCCCAAGACCAGTGCACGGTCCTGATTTCACCAACACAAGATTTCGTTGCACATGAACCTCTTCCACGTTCCTAACCAAGTGTACATTCCTGGCCTTGTTCAATATTGCCCTTGATTCCCCCATTTTTCTTGACTTGTCCATTATGATCCCTATGCAGATTCTTCATCCCACTGTTCTCCTGATAGTCTGCACAGCATCCTCTCACTCTCACTGCATGCCCCCTCCTGCTTAGTTTACCTCCAGACTTTCATAGGTAACTAAATATAATATACATATGTTTCCTTTTAACTCCTGACCATAAAATTACGCAATTGAATATCTGTGAGTTTACTTGTTCGCTCATAATTCTTTTTCAAAAAGTTAAAATAATAATAAAAAAATCCTGTATCCCAAATAACCAGGTGCTGTCACACTGTTCCTCTAAGCTAGGGGTGGGGAACTTTTTTTGAGTTGGGGCTGCTGACATACAGAAAAATTAGTCAGACCCAGGCTAGTAGATTTTGTGGTCTCCAGCCCCATGGGAGGAACAGTAGGGGGGCTGGAACACCACTGCGGGCTCTCCAAAGCTGAGAGGGAGCCCCGACCTCACAGGCCATATCCGTGCAAGCTTTAGGTTCCCCACCCTTGCTCTAAGCTCTCTGATACCAGAAGGCAGCACCACAGGAA